TCGTTATGTTTTGTTTTGTATTTTTCAATTATTTATGTTTATCATTTTCCGTTATAATTACGTTTACAAATTTCAATCGTTTTTAGTCAAATATAACGTTGTAATAATAACGTTATTATAACATTTGCAAGTCCTGATTTAAATTGTTTAAGATTACATTGAATTATTATAACAAATTTTAAGTAAAATTAACCTTTTTAAAAGAAGCACAATATTATCAACTTCTCTAAACCTCTCAAACATCCTCGATTTAAACGAGAAAAATTTAACATTTACACTTATTATACCTCAATTTAATATTACTATAATATATTATAATTATATTTTTCTTACATTGGCAAATAGCGCTTATACACTTATGCTATCATTAGAATAATAATGATTATAAATTATTATTATTATTATTATTATTATTATTAGAAACAATTACCAATAGCTATACACATGTTACTATTGTCTATTTTTAATCAATGTTAACAAATTCATAATTTATCATTGAGCTTAGACAAAAAAAATTCTAAATGATTCTTAAAGTACATTTTCTGTAGGTATGTAAAAATTCTAACACTTTGAATTACTAATAGAAATTGTCAATTTTAGTTTTTAAGTGAATTTTTCCATAACTTGTGAGAAGTATGAAAAAATACTTATTATTATCTATTATTATATAGGTTATATTAAATTAATACACAAAATAAATTAACTATAGTCAATAACACTTTTGAAAACTGTTATTATTGTTTTAAAAACATTATTTAAAACTTAATTATCAAGATAGTACCAAGTTAATTAATTGTAATATAATGCATTTACTATATTGATGGTATATAAAATATATCATTTTTTTATTTTTTTTTTTAATTACAATGGATTTAAGCGTCTCATCTATACTCATAAATCGAAATAATATATAATATGATATTAGTGTAAATCAACAAAATTAGTAACGCTTATTGCTTATATATTTTCATGTTTGTTAACTATTCATTTTTTTAGATTAACTCTGAAACGGAGCGATCAATTTATTGATTTTATAATGATGTATTGTTTTTAGTGCTTGTATACATAATTGCACGATAAGCAGTTAAATAATTACTTCATTCTTCAACTTAAAGCGTGGTTTCACATAGAAAATTGGATTTACTTAGTGCTTTGAAGGATCAGAAGTAAAAAATTCTCAGTTCTCTGTAAAATAACTGGGGAAAACGAAAGAAAATTAAGGGAAAACAAAAGTTTTTACGTAAAATTTATAATTGATAAATAAATTTTAGTTTTTTGATGTAATTAAAATACAATCAAAGACATTTAAAATTTGACAACATTTTATTATTTAAAATTATACACAAAATAAAATATTCAAAATAGTTTGATTCTTTTTAAGCTATTTTAAATTAATTTTAATATAAATACTCGAGGATCAATGTCCTAAACAATTAAAATCTCTGATAGTTATTAATAATTGTATTATTATATGACATACTTTTTCGTATATTTCCAAATTAAGTATATCATTTAGTCATTAAAAATTTATAATAGAAAATTATAAAAATTTAATTAAAACGATTGAATTATTTGATTCATTACATTATTATGTATGATTTTTAATTGTAAGCTTATTGATTTCATCATATTTGTTGTTTAACTTTTTAGTTTCGTTATAATTGCGGTTGATTCTATCTAAGTGTAGACTTATTAATTTACATGAGTATTGATTGTAAAAATTAAAATCTAAATGTTCTGCTGTTATCTTGTAATCAGTTAGTTATATTTTTCCGTGGATTGTTAGTTATTCTACTTTTAGCTTTTGATTTTATTGTTACTGGTTTCATATATACACCATATATAGTAAAAATATATGAAGATTAACGATTGCTAAATAATACTTTTATAGTTCCATGTTAAAAATTACACAAAGAAATACGAGTACATAAATTGATTGTAAAGAGGAATTTTAAAAATAGCAATAAACCTTTCTTCAAAACTATTATAATTTAAACACTAAAACGCTTTATACAAATATATAATTTAACAATAAATATGTAGCAGTAGTCTTTTTGTGATACTACACAGAACATAGCAACTATAGCGTAGTATGGAATTCTAATAGTGATCGACAGACGGTTAGATACAGTCACTTATCGGTCTGTTCAATATTCCAACTTTAAATTGACCAACTGTCCAGCTGGCAGCTATATTTATCGTTAGTTTAAGTCTACATACATTTTACTAACAGTTTAACTTTAATATATACTTCTAAACATTTCAGACTTTTGCTCAACTTCACAATAAAACTATATCAAACTCGAAGTTTATTACAATTTACAATTAAGAAAATAGACAGTCAACTTCAGTTGTTTTGTAGTACGTTGGTATAATGTTATCCAAACAAAGTTGAAAAATATGATTCATGAAAATATAAATTTAGAAAGTTGTACTTTATAGACTAGGACCTATCCCTAATATAAATATTTTCAAAATCGTATTAATATCTATCGGCCAAGTGGTATAAGAATACATCATAATATTGTTATCTATGTAAATAAAAATTAAACGCTAATTTTTGAGAACGGCTGAAATGAGTTGACTCATTCTTTTTTTTTAATATTTTGAATAGCTCGGAGTTAGTTAACAAAAAGAAAAATTGGAAAAATTTTGAAATAACTGAAAATGATTTCTATGGAATTACCTTTGTAATACTATTATAATAGAATGTATCGGTTGTTAGAAAAATCATACAAAAATCTTAACATGAGAAAAATAGTTGTATACAGATTTGACAGGTCTTTTTTTGTATTTTATAGTAACTTAATAATAATAATAATAATAATAATTTTTTATTAACGCAATGAATTCTACTTATCTAAAAATATTCTGTGAGGTGTAGTGATTATAGAGTACTCGTATATGGGGAATGTAACGATTACTAGGGGACACCTAAATAGTGTAACATAAAAATTATAAATTTGAATCTACATATATTATTATACTATGTACCTAGGTACATCCTGAATCAAAAAATATTCTCGTTAATTTTAAATGGTTTATTATTCTCTTTCTTTCCAATTATATTTTCTAGTGTTAAAGAAATTCAGGAATAAAATTTCATCAAAAAAATTTAGACTTTTTAAGCGATTTATAGATAATTTAAATTTTCGGGTTTTAGTTGTTTTTTTTTATAAGTACCGAATAAAAGTTATTCACTGGATAGAAATGAATATAAATTTAATAAGTATAAAGCTCTTCATAAGATGTTCATTTATCAGTTAAAAAATATTAAACATTTATGTCCATAATATTTTTTTACATATTTTGATAAAATTTATAAAAAATTTATTATAAGGTACTTTATAAGTTTTATTATTAATAAACTTGAAATAACATGTAATATGTTGACACATTTTAAATATAATAGAGAAAAAAAAATAAGTTTATTTACTTTTACGTTTATTATATTATTATGAATTTTAGCTTTTAGGTTTATTTTATGATGTTACCTATGGATCTTTTTTTATTAATTTATATACACATCATGTAATATCATTAGAGATATAAGCTGATAAAATGTCTCCAATCATAATCATTTTTTGTATATCATTGAATTCAAATTTAACACGCCCATAATAGTGACCCACTCAACGCCTTATATAAAATAGAGCGTTAAACCCACTTGCTTTTTTTTTTTTTTTTTAACATACATTATAGAAACATAACTATTCAGAATGAAATAATTTTCGTTGATTTAATTCTTTGCTACCCTAATAAATTTTATTTAAAATGTTTTAAATTTAAATTTATCTTTGATTATTAAAATGTAACATCAATTACCAATCTAGGCACCAACAATAAGTCTCAAAATAGCTATCTTCATTATGTAGATCATGTTCATATCTTATCAATAGTTTAATATAGCTATTAATTATTAAACCTATATCTACAATGAAAATTCGAAATTCAAAAGTAGAATAGTTTGGGAAAACAATATTTTAACGAAAATCTTTTCATATGTCTTACATGTGTGAATTCTATCTGACGAAAATTACATAGAACTGCAGGTGTCCCTTGTTTATATTTTTAAATTATTTTTTGGATTTGAAGTTGTTGATTTTGTCGTGTACAGAAAAGAATGACCAACAGATTAATGCCATTTTAAAAGTATTGATAACTGTCAATTATTTTAATAGCTAGAAAACTTAGTACATGAGTAATTTAAATAAATTAATCCGAAACAAAGTAATTGTACGTTCTAATATTTATAACTTTGCGTATTATCTACAATTATGTAGATATTAAATATAATTAGAAATGTATTATGTTTCTTAAATCAATTATTATTTGTAACATTATGATAAATAATGTTTTGAAATATATTTTTATCACATAATATAGAGCCCACTATTAGTTCAGAATCTTAGCACTTGTTTATTCAATAAAGTATGCATGTGATGAACCTTAAATTATTATACCTCGTATTTTACTATTGTGTTTGCTTATCCATTATCCAATTTAAATTTTAAAATAGAGACTAGCTATAGAAAGCGTAATAAATATGATATTTATTGTACTTAAAAAATTTTAACATTGGCTAATACCTCACTTGGTCCTTGATTTGATCATTTGAACAAACACCAATTTTATCATTTTGTTTTTTAGAAAGACCAATTTGTCAACTGTTCTATTGGTAAAAACAAATGCAGAACCGTAGTTTGAATAATGAATAAGTATCTTTAACCTATTTAATTATCAATCATTTTTGCTTAATACGATTATTTTAGGAACTAATTTTGTTTTTTTCATCATATGAAATGATATTATACGATAAACAAATATTATAGTTCATTCAAATTTTTCAAAAAATTGAAAAAATTGGATTAAAATAATTTATATTTGTATTTAATTTTTTTTTTTTTTTTGTTTAATTATTTTACTAATAATTATTATGATATTATTGATATTTATTTATTTAAATAAGTGATAAGATATTAGATAAATAAATACTTAATTAAAAATAGTTGAGTTCTTAGATTAAACACAATATGTAAACTTTTGCAATATTTGAGCTTAAAATTTAAAGTCTAGATCAAACTAACTTATTATCCTATTAGAAGTGAATTTATAATTTTGAAATAAACTTATTTATTTTTTTTGATTACATTTAATAAAAATTGAACACTATTAAGAATAAACTAATATAAGGTAAAACATATTTAATATATTTAATATATTGGCTATTCTGAAATCGGGGTACCGATAAATTGCAAGGCATTATTTTCCCGTTTTGAATATTTAATACCTTAGCTACTTCTTTGGAGAACTTCAAAAGTACTTCTTCATCTTTATGAGGATCATCGTTTATTGTGACCATTAACTTTTTATTGTCCAGATCCACTTCAACTACTGTGCCTGGAGGTAATAAAGTGTGGGCAGCATTTAAACCATATCTGCGATACATTCTTTCACTATACGCATCTGCCGGTTCGTTATATGAACACATTCCAATTTGCACTAATTTATGCACAGTAAAAACAAAACAAATTATTATTGTTATCGGTTTACATCATAATTATACATACATATAAATATGTATATTATATATACGTACCATTAGAACTGAAGAAGGATGTTATTGTACTAAATACGTTAGTGTTATCATTACAATATGAATCAAAGTAAAACAATGAGAAACTACATTTTCGATAACAACAGTCATTGTCTACTGAACAAACCTCATTTATACTTTTACATGAATCATTCCTTTCAACGCAGATTATTCCTAAAACAATTAAAGACAAGACATTTTACTCAATAATGTTTGATTTCATGCAAATGATTTTTAATAATTATTTTTAAGTTTAAATTTAGAACGAATAAATCATAAATGCATAGTTTTGGGGTCATAGGAAATCTTAATATTTACTCCTCCAAATTTTTTTGCTAAATATGGTTTCTTCGCTGTAGCCGTAAAAGTAAAGATATAAAAATTTTAATTGCCCATATGGCGATACATTATAATTATTTAATTTTATTCTTAATTTTTTTTTGAAATTAAAAAAATCTTTCCATATTTTTTACAATAAGCTTAATTTATTACAAGAGGAGTTTTACAGAAGACTTTAAAGGAGAAACTGTCCTCTGATGACACTTCTAAATTAAAACTATGAAATTAAGCTAGAGGAGTAGGTAGCAAAATCATTTTTTTTTTTTTTTTTTTTTAAAGCTTTTGGGCGGGTCCCGAGCATTGATTTAATTAAGATTTTTACTTAAATATTTGGGTGGTTAGGTCAAAGAGAAAGTTGTAGTAGCGTGAATTGAATTTGACAACAGTTTTAAAACATTTTATTCTTTTAAAAAAAAGTAACAATTCCTCAAGGATTAAAAAAATAAGTATTACCTGAAATTGTGGATATCAAATATAATGTGATAAAAACACCTGCTGATTTCTTCATTTTTCTTTTAATGTTAAAATTATTTATGAACTGATAATATATTTACTGGTATGCTCATGAGTTGTAAATACAACAATGAACAGATTAACTTCTGATTTATGTGTAAGATGTTTTTGTCCAATGGTATTTAGATTAAAATTAATTAACAAAAATTCAGAACTCTATAATGATAGCAATTTTGTAATTAATAACTAATCTTTATATACTTTTGATATGTTATATTAATGTTAATGTTTAGTTATTGTAATATCATAAAAATTATTATGTGATAAATAATAACTAAAATTTAATTGAAATAAGTATCGTTACTAAAACAATAACTTATAGTAACACTTTATAGATCAGTGGTTCTCAACCGGAGAGAAAATGAAAATCAGTTTCACTAAGGGTAAACTTTAGAAGAGTTAATACAGTAGTAATGCAGTTGCAAGTATGGAATTGATGTTATAAAATAAAGATGGAAAATTGTATAAAATATAAAATAGATCCAATATATGCTACAAAAAAATATCCGTAAGATTGAAAATCAAAAGATTTTTTTCTTCTATAAAAATTTCTTTGGAAACAAAAATAAATAAAAAAAAAGGTAGGCAAGTGGGTACCACTTTGCTGTGCATAAGATTTCGAGTGCGGAGCGTGTCACTATTATGGGTGTATTAAACTTTTAAACTTGAGTGTAATGATATAATATCATTGTATGAAAAAAACAGTTCGAGCGGAAACAGTCAGTCTATACCATAATTAGTATATTCCATATGGTTTTTTGATACAAGTAGTTATTAAAGTTAAGTATTTATTTTACTCTTAGCATTAAAGTGAGTGATATCATTTTTTCTGAAAATATTGCATTTATTATATTATAATAGTGTTTAATTATCATAGTAATAAATATTTTTACCATATTATATCAATTTATATAACTTGGAATTTAATATTATCTTTCTGTAAATACTGTAAAAAAATAAAAATAGGTTTATGCTGTTTATAGTATAAATAAGTAATTTGTATCTTAAAATAAGTTAAAAATTTCATTTTGTAAAGTAAAATTTATAATAATATAATAAACGTAAAAGATGAAGTCTCCATCTCTCCACGAATAATATTTTTGATTCATAACAAAATAATTAACATTGATGTTCATAGTTAAAATATATAATTTTGTTCACATTTCTATAATATAAATTGTGATACTACATTTTTTTTTAAATTTTTTCTACCAAAAATTATTCCAAATATCAAAATTTATCAATTATAGATATTTTTGATAAATTTATCGATGATAAACTTAATATATTTTCAAGAAAAAATAAAAAAATATGCATTATTTTAAATTATTTTGAGTTCCTGATTTCATTATAATTGGTGAAAAAATAGGATGTTCTTTAGTGATTTCAATTTTTTTTTTTTTTTTGATAAGAAATCACTAAGTCAAAAACTTGAAAATTAAATACAGGATTTCTAAATTCTAGTATGTATTGTTATTATAGTTATTTAAAAATATTGAATAAAAATTTAAAAAAAAAACAATAACTAGATTTATATTTTGTACATTAATTTACATAAATAATTTACTTAACTCCAAATATCTTACTTATTATTTACTAATGAAATAATTCATCCAAGTAAAAATTATCTCATTTAATTTTACTTAAAATTAATATCTGTTTAAAAATAAAACAATTTAATTGTATAACTTAAGTTTTTATGGTAAATTAGTATTTTGTCATCGAAATACGAATAATAAACTTCAATAATTCGCAAATAGCTTTCTATGATACATATCTAGTATATTTATTATTTATGCTATATAAATGACTTCTCATGAACTAAGTTAAGTTATAGTACTAAAATACTGAGTAAGCCATTAATAATAATATAATGCTACTTTACATTATAATAAAATATACTGTACGGAAATTACTATTAAAATACAGTAAATGTTTTTTTTTTTAATTTATAAAAAAAACTATTTAAACCTAGGAATAAAATTATTCAACTTAATTAGTATAATTATTCATTTGTTGAATATTTTCAAAAGTAAAACTATTCTTAACTATAGTATAGTAAATCATTAATTACTATTGCAAGTTTTTCTAATAGTTTATCCGATATAACTATTTTAATACATAGTCATTTTTGTAAAGATTAAAGGGTATTTAGACTAGTAATTTAAGAATAATATATAGGTTAGATTAACCCAGGAAGGGAGACGAGCCAACCTAAACAGTGGGCCTCGTGTTTGAAATCAAAAATATTAAAATTGGTTTAAAAATGTTATTATTTTCTTAAAGTTGAAAATTGTATGTTGTATATAATTAATAAATATCAATAAATCATCGGTGTTTCGTAGTGATACATAACAAACGTAACTCTCCACAATAATTTAAAAATTCAAATACTTTACAAACTTGTAAAAAAAAACACTACAAACGCGTTTGTGTTATAAAGGAAAACATTGATAATAATTAATAATATTTATTGACTAATAGTAAGTAAATCGATTTTATTAGTAGTATAATAGTTTTTTTATTTTTAGTATGTTCGTTTGTTGTTAATATTGGATCTGGATTACAATAATATTATAATGGGTTAGATATTAGTTGATAGACTAATGATATTACCTATTGAAAAGTTTTCAGAAATAAAAGCTAAACAATAGAAATAATTTTTTACTGTTTTCTTATTTTAATATATTAAAGATTATATTACTTTATTAACACAGGATCAATTTATATTTTTATTGTGTTTAACTGATTAAGATTAGGTAATAATTATTTATATCGTTTTATAAAAATCAGAGTTCTATGGTTCTATTTGTTTATTATTCTTATTTTATTGAAGTAAAACAAATTTATATAAATACTAATAAAGTAATAAATGACAAGTGACAACTAATGACCAATGAATGATTGAATAAAAAAAAAAAAATCATGTAATTTAAGTCTACTATAAAATTTTTTTATTTTCTTTATCTATGTATATTATAATATTTTATAAAAAAAACCTCTAATTGTTTATTTGATATTACTAATTATTTAGGTACCTACTCAACTTTTTGTGAAATAAAAATGATCGTGTTATCGTGATATCGTGAAATACAAATGGACTGAAATAAATAGAGAAATTTGGTAGAAGCGTGCAAAATATTTCTGTAGCCCGCATAACAGCATATAATATTAAAAATAAAATGTAAAATAAGTATATAACATAAATAAAAACAATAATTAATTTCAACAAATTTTCATTCTAAGAAATACCTTAAATAAATAAATAAATTAGTATATTTTATAAATTAACTATAACTATGAAAAATAACAATACTGGTATAGAATATAAAATCATTTTTAGAATAGGATTATGATGCATCACTTTTTCGATTTTACACGGCACAAATTCTTCATTTTTAATATGTAATCTAAGAGCCGCTTCATTGGATAAATCTAAAAGTGTTCCATTTGTTTTAGGAATGCGATCGTTTATTGAGATGACTATCGACCTTCTTTTGTATGACACTTTGATTAGTGTATATGGAGGCAAAGTATTGTGGGCTGCATTTATGATACTAAATTCATCATTCAGATAATCGTTGTCATTTTCATCAATCTGCATGTGGAATTCGCAAATTCCTTCTTGAGCTAGTCATAGTATAAAGAAATCCAAATTTTAATAAAATTATTGTTATAAATTAAAATAGATCAAATGAATTAAGTATATTATTATATACCTGTAAGGTTTGAATCTAAATCAAATTCCAATGATGATTGATCTTGATCACAAATGCCATATGACCACCAAAATGATTTTGAACAATATTGAGAACAACAATCGTCGTGATTATAACATAAGTAACCTAAATGTCCACACAAAGTAGTATTTGATGCATCGCAGGTTCTATCTAAAATTTATAATAACAGATATAATAATTTTTTTTATATCTTAGTAAAATAATTTAAAGGATAGCTACAATTGATAACAATCTGCATTTGTAACTGGGTATTTTAAAATAATATATTTTTATTTACTATTTTTGATTATTACTTATTTATTTATGAATTATGTGTAGTGAATAGTAATGATTTTTATTGTCGAACAACTCAGATAAGCGATTTCCCTCATGCGTATTTTTAGTGGAAACCTTACGATATCAAGGTCTTAACACTCTTAACTCAAAGGTTATGAGTTATGACTAATGAATTTGTAGTGGTTTACCGATTTACTTTGAGTTTGGTACTATTTTTTACTTCAATAAATAAGAGTTTTAATAATATAAAATCAAATTTTAAAACATAAAATTTGTTTACAATATCTCAATGGAATAATAATATTACACACATGTATCCATTAATGGAGTATACACAACAATTTTCAATTGAAGAGTAAAAAGGGGACCAAACTCCCATGTGTAAGCCACTATGTATCATTATGCTTTTTCTTTAACTTAATGAACAACAGTGACGCTGCGGGAATGTTTTATCAGTACATTTACGACATGATATAATAATTATGGCTAATAAAACATTTTTGCTTTTAAAACATTAATACATTTACGAAACATTGATCAAATAATTTTTAAATAACACATATTTCCGAATTCATGAGTATATATTTTAACAATCCCTGTATATAAGTTGGGTATTTTAGCAGGATTTCCTATTCATGTATTTAAATATTATAGTAAAAAAAACTAATCTAATTTTCATACCATATTATTATGTACATTGTATAAATTGTGGTTATTCAATTAAAACAAATTTATAAACCTTTAATAATTTAAGCAATATATTTGATGTGAATTCTAAGTTTTATAAGACATAAAACTCAAAATACTTTCAGCAACTCTCCTCTATTCTAGTTATACTATGAATGTAGTATATAAAAATGTATTTACCTGAAATATTGAAAATTAATATCAATACAGTCAAGAAAACTGAAGGTTTCTTCATTTTTTTTACTCACGAATTTCATTTATGGTTTTTTCGTTGGTGTTATGTTAAATTATTAACTTGTTTCAATGTGAATCAAACAGTGAATGTATGTGATAATACTTTTTTTTTGTTTCATATCAAGTCAGATAAAATAATAAATTACTATCGTCTTTTAATAAGGATAAATTAAATAGCTAATTTTGTTTATAGTATGCGCAATTCGTTTAATAATAGCTACGTTTAATAACGCAATAAATATGTTAATATTCATTTAAGTCCTCTTTCGCGGATCTCACGCGGTTTATACTTAGTGTGCAATTCAAAATTTGACAGTTGTGCATTTAGTTTTTTTAAATATCTACCTATTTAGAATATAAATTACAGTGTTTTATCAATTATTGTTTGTTAAAAATTATTATTATTAGAATTCTATAAATATGTATTTTATTATTTTGGATAGTGGATGCTAATAAAAGATATTATACTTGTATTATGTATTCAACGATAGGCAAAAATTGTTGTCGGCTAAAATAATATATTTTTATTTCTAAAATGAAGATAAACTATAATTATTTCGGAATTATAATATTTTCAAAAATTAAACTTTTTTTAGTAGATTTAATTGTATATATTTTCATAAAGAAATACTCACCACATTAATCAAATTTGTTTCGTTTTAGTTTTTACTTAGTAACAAAATATTTATTATATTCGCAAAATATATCAAAAACTTAACATGATTTAATTTGTCAATTGCTTTTCAATATTATATGCTATTTATTGGGGGGTTTCAACACATAATCGAACACTGCCTACAATATATTATTATGTATTTTTATTATTATATTTCAAAATATTTGAATAATGATAAGAATAAATTAGATACCTACTATAATATTATTGATATTTGTGATTTCATTAAAATAATGATTTACTTAGAATTAATATTTGCTAATACTATATTTCATAATTTTATTACTTTTAAAACAATTCCTTTTTTTAAAGTTAACTAATACCAAGTACTAACACTTCATTTTCTTCTTCTTCTTTGAGGTTATTGACCATTAGAATTATCCCGTGACACATGCTCAATCTTCCAATTCTCCTTTTCATGTTATCTTGCTATGTAAATTTGTACACTATCAGGTACATGATTCCTCAAACATTTTTTGCAAAAATAGAAATCGAACTTTTTTAGTTTCGGAACAAATTATTTACTATAGCATAACGAATATTGCATTCCCGAAGTAAATACTAAAAAAAAAAATTATGTGATATGAAATATAAACTTTTTGTTTATTGAAAGCACATGTAATATTTATAATTTTTTTTTTGATTAACTGTTAAAAATTATATGGTCAAACGAGGATAGTTTGAAAGAGATAATTAGAAATCTCAGGTTTAGGTATGTACTCCCGTACAAAAGAATTACGGGGACTAAAATCAAGGAATTGAGGAGTCGAAGTGTTTTCCTGTAAGATCAAGCAATCAGGGAATTATGCACTGTAAAATAAAAACGACTGAAAAAAAAAATGAAAACCACTTCCCTCTACCACCGTTTAGCGATGCCAAAGCGATAACTTGAAAAGTGAAATTCCATTATGTCGCACTATATAAATCATACGTAATATTACATTATAATGTAATCAACTAAATTATCAATATTAACAATTATCACTCTATTGTATTTATTCTATTTAATATTAATTAATTTAAGATAGTAGTGTAGTATATATTGTATATTATTATAGTAGTATTAAAATAGCATGACTTATATGTTTATTATTATATAGTACAATTATATTAAATTGTAATGTCATATAATATATACAATTTTAAATGGATGCCGATTTACTTATTAAAATATATTTACACATCTACATTAGGTTATAATTAAGTGACTATATGCTATGAGTATATTAAAAACACTAAAGGATCGATCAAACAGAAAGCGGACTGTCCGTGCGGATAGATCGCCGGTCCGCTGTGGACTCTGTTTTCTATGTAAAAACATTATCATGATTAAAAACAGACAGCGACCTACCACGGCGGACTATACCTACTATAATTCACCACGGATAACCGGCTGGTTGTATTTGTTTACAAAGTTTGTGGTAGACCGGAATAATTGTGTAAGCGTCATAAAATGAATGTATTATTACCTATTTGTCACATTAAGTCATTAAATATATTATTGTTCGTTTCAACGATAAAAGTGGGTTTTATCAGAGTTCAAATATAATAATAATTGTAATCCATATAATTACAACGATAGCGAGTAAAACTGATTTTGTTTCATGACATATTCATTTCACTGTGTTGTAGTGCTGTGTATGATATATTATACAGTTTGAATTGACAAAATTATCTGAACGTGGACGTTTTAAAGCAAAAATGAAGGAAGCCACAGTCGTTTGGGCCAAGTTATTTCTTATACTCATCATTTCAAGTAAGTACACATGCACTTAAAAAAAAAAAAATAGAAATAAAAAGTGATCAAAAACTTTAAAATAAACTATCTGTTATTCATATTCATATTCAAGTTTTTAATTTCTATAAAGTAGGAACGAATCTTATTTTGTAATTTGGTTGCGATTGATAATACGGATTTATGTTTTCACCACAACAATTTTAAATCGTTCAAAAATAAGTTGTAATTTGAGTGTTTGATAGGTGAAATTTAAATTTTATATTTGGGGCGAATAAGTTGGAGAGGGGGGGAGATAAATTAGTTTTTTAAGTAAGCCCATGGGAACTTATAAACTTCACATCCACCTTTTTTTAAATTAGAATTAAATTACTAATTTAAAAAGTAGGTAAAGGTACCGATTATATACAATTTTTTAAGCAATTTAAACATAAAGTGTACTATATAAAAAATTACTCTGCTAAACCTCAATATATAATATTTATAAACAATCTAACACAGTCAACAGGATACTTAAATGTATCTTTTATTTAAAAATACTAAAAATATGTACGATATATTTGCACGTTCTGTATAAGGTTTGTCGTTTATGTTCTTTAAATATACATAAATTTAAAACCCCCTATTATTTAGGGGTCACAGTAGTTACTAATTAATAATTATACTTTAGTCAACAATCACTGAGAAATATTGTAATATTGTTTATTAATAAGTTTATCCGTGTATACTGTATAGTCATACTGATATTATACAATATATACTATGTTTTCTTGTTTCTACAGCTAAACCTCTTGGTCTCAACGGCCTCAGTGAATGCAAGCACCTAGGAAACAATTCGTGTCTAGGCCACAATGAATGTTGTTCTGGTTATTGTTATAAGGAACCCGGTTGGGAATTGGGAGTGTGTAAAAGAGCAGAGAGTGCCGAACAATTAGAAGATGAAGAAAACGTTTGTAATTATCCTTATTTTTTTTTGAATTATTGTAAATTCTATTGATTCATTTGGTTCTTATGTAATTTTTATATATTATTATTATATATATATATAATGTAGGTAGCTATATGACATATCAAATGTGATATTATATACCGTCGTGTTTTCAATTTAGTCGAAAAAGGCGTTTGTGCGTTTTACAAAGGAGGCAATACGACTGCAAGCGGTGACGTATTCGATGAAAACGAGATGACCGCCGCTCACCGGACATTGCCGTTTAACACGATGGTTAAAGTGGAAATTATGGGCGCCAGCGTGGTGGTCAAGATCAACGATCGCACGAATAATTCGAACCCGCATACTTTGGACATGTCACTTGCGGCTGCTACGAGTATAGGCATCAATGATAGAGGCGATGTACAATGTCAGTTAATACTTGTAAACTATGTGGGTTGCACGCCAGATTTAGGAAACACGTGTGTGATGCATCACGAATGCTGTTCACAAAACTGTTTCAGGGAAATGTTTTCTGAGGTAGGGTTTTGCATACCAAAATAATAAGCTGGAATCTGAGTGCAGTTCAGTTTAACGACAATGGTCAGCTAGTGGAAATTAAATAGTATTATAATATATAATTTGTTGGTTCAATTTCCGCCTTTGAATAATACCCCTCTGTAGTAACTATAATATAGATTGTAGATAATATCATATTATTTATAAATAAATATTTGTTTGGAAATCATCATATAAAGTACATAGAGTAATTATTTCATATTTTCATTCAAAATAAAAACTTTGTATATTCAATTTTTTATTGAATACACATATGTGTTTTAAATATTTGAGTTTTACAGGAGTGATGCGTGACACATATAAACCATAATTTATAAATATATATTAATTTGACATATAGGTATCTTTAAAAATATTGATTTAATATTAGAATACTAATTAAAATTATACATTTAAAATAGTAGGTGAAACAAGTTATAACTGCAGAATTACTTTAAACCTGTACATATTCTATTCAGATAGTTTTAATAGTGAAATTAAAATACATATTAAGTTTAAAAAAAAAAACCCTTTGGTCGTCTATATCTTTGTTTTTTAAATACCTATTATTAAAATGTGAAACGATTTTTTGTCAAGTCATATCTGAAGTTCTACTGGACCGATTTTCATTGTTTTTTTTTTTTTTTTTTTTTTTTAACGCAAGTACTTGGTATGCAGATTAACCATCTAATAAGAAAATTCCAAAAATTTATCAATTAAATTGTTTTCGGAAATATTTAGTTTTCCGTGTATTTGCGTAGCGACGCGTGTTATGGTAACCTAACGTGTACACACACAATATATTTACACCCCCCCCCCCCTGACCCTCGCCACTACTTCTAAATCTAGAGCAGTCTGCAGTACTGCTACGCTGTCATTGTCGGCAAAACTCATAAATCATAATAATAACACCATAACCAAAAAGAGTTAGATCTTTTGAAAAAATAAAAATACAAATAATACCGAAAAACAAAAAAGATGCAATGAATGTAACTTATAAATAAATTTTAAATTAATAATAATACACAAATACATTAAAATGTTCATTTAATTGTCAATTTGTTTGTGTTGGGTGAAATATTTGCAGTTTTTTCCGTATGTTACGTGTATATTTATAAATGTTATATCAACTTAAGAACTTAAATTAATTTCCATTTTATATTTTTCCTAAACATTATTGTCGTGTTATTATAACTTTATATTTATTATTCATATTTATGCATCTATATATTATAATTATTCAATATTTTTTTTTTTATTTTACTGTAACTCGACAACAACGGGTAATTCAGCTAGTCTCATTTATATATTGACATGAGTCATTTCTAATCATTTTCAAAACAACATAAATAATTAACGTAATAAGCAGTAACTAAAGTTTCACATTGAATCATTTTCAAATTCAATAACGTATATTTCATAATAGCTTTCAAAATAAATTTAGAATACTCCAAAATTTTAAGTTTAGTTAGAGATGTCATCCAAGCCAGGCAAGTTTTACTTTTTAACATAAAGCGTTGAACGGCGTATTGTGTAGGCAATAAAGGTATATATAAAATAAAAATTGTTATTATTGCGAATTGCAATATTTTACATTTTGTAATAAGTACAAGTTTATTTTAAATCAAATAATATTTTATTTATTCGATATTAAGTGGCTATCTCATATCCAGTACGGTAGTTTATTTTATACATTTATTATTTTGGTTTCAATTATAATTTTTAACATAAAAACGTAAATTGATAATTGGAATGGATATAAATTAATATATTTTAATGTTTAAAGTCCATAGATTAAATTACTTACTCGATTTTTGATACTAAATAAATCATAATTTGTGCATCATGACACCAGCTATAGAGAGTATTGTGAATGTATAGAAGTTAATATTCCATTGCCCTTTGGTGCTATACTTAACCAAAGGAAAAACAATAAGATGAAACACTTCACAATATTGGTAATGTAAACCTAATCCAATGCAAATCAAGACTTTAGGTGTTGCTCACATTTATTTGGAGTAACTTAATAACAATAAAGATGAAAATATTATTTTATACACTTAAATATCTCGTAAACATTGTATACATAATTATGTCATTCATACGCTATTATTGGGTGCTGTTTGAGAATTTTATTCATGGTTCAAAGGGATACCCAAGGGATTATTTTAACATTGGTACCACTGTGGTCCCAGCTGTTATCTACAATATGATTTTCACAGAGGAGTCCATCGTCGTTTTCTTGCAGACTATAAAATTTCATACTTTCATCCCTGCACGTTTACACACTTAAAAGTACAAGTCTAGGCTAAAATATGATCGCCTCAAAGGGACTTCAGTTAATGAGAAACTTTTCAACAACAGCAGTTCGAAATAGTCATGCATATGGTGGACCTGGATCTAATTTGCCGTTTGACGTGTACAGCAAGTATAAATTTACAGCTCTACTAGCTGTGTTTTTTAGTACCGGATTTGGACTTCCATTCCTGATGGTTCGGTTTGTTAAACACAGGTCACTATAAATGATCCAAAAACAACTAAATGTAATTGACAATGTAGATTGTTTATGAAAAATAAAAATAATGCTAACACACTAGTCAGTAGTTTTAAGTAAAATGTAATTTTTATGTTTTGTTTGTATTTTGTAATAATTTCTTTAATAATGATCAATCAAAGGAAATTGTACTTAATAATTTTGTTTAATAAAATAATTAAAAGATTTTATTCGTGTAGTTATTATTTATTAGATGAAATTGTCATGAGAAAAAATAAATAAAACAATATGATTTCAATACCCCAATTTTAAATAACCAAAAAAATATTAGCCTCATTTATTTATGTTTAATGGTGACATATAAATAGTCAGATGAAAATAATTCCATGTTTTAAAGGTAATTTTAATGTACCATGTGTAATTATTATTATCTATTGTTCATTATTTATTTTTAATAATATGTAATATAATTTAAAAACGAGGTATACATATTTCACTCTAAATGTCTATTTTTAGCCAATAAATTGAGTTATTTAATTAAAAAAAAATGTTAAAATAAACAATTGGAGTATTATAGAAGTAAATATTTTTAAAGGGAAAAAATTATACAAAAATAAAAATACAAAACATTGCTTTCATGTTTAATTATAGAACGGATTATACGTAATCCAATGAGCTCGAGTTTGATTCTTGTCGTCTTCGTGACTTGTGAATAATGACTTATATACATTGGTTGCAGTTTGGTCTTTAGAAATGCTGTGTGTAAGTTTTGCTTTTTTATACACAGGGTCTTCTAATTTACGGCAGTTAGCAGAAGTAACGGAGGAACTTGATCCTGCAGCACTAGGGATTGGTCCTAAATCAAATTTAATATAATTAATATTAATAATTTTAGTGAATACAAATTATTTTTAAAAATTGTTATACTTTTTATTTGTTCTTTCTTTATTTGTTCCTTTTTTATTTCCTTCTTAATATCATTTTCAGTTTTGATAGGTAAGATTGGTGGAATGATTGGTTTTTCTTCTTCATCAACTGGTTCTTCTTTAACTACAACTTCTTGTTTGACTTTATTTTTTTTACTCTTAATCTTATCTTTGCGTTTAGCCAACTTAGTTTTCATTAACGCTATATCTTCTTCGGTTGGATTCAATACAACAATATCATCATCTTCATATTCCATTACACAATTAACACACTTGTTATCAGCACCAAGTTTAAGACCTCTTTCAGAAATAACACATCCACACTTCCATAAGAAACAGAATTTTGATCTGTCATTCATTTCAAGACCAACTAGAGGGCATATGAAAGGTGAACAATTATTATCAATATATCCTCCTACACTTTGAGCTTTTCCGTTGAATGCTGGATTGGGAGTCAATCTCAAAGCTTTAATGTCCTACAAAAAATATTAATACAATTTAAATTATTAAACATTAAACGATAGATAAACCAACATACTTTTAAACTCTTGATGTGCGCTGAAGCTTCAGGAAATGGAGTTTTATTAACTAAATACTGTAAAACTGATTCTTTATTGTACAAAAGACCCATGCCACAAGCGACTATTGGTGGTCGAAGTGGCCCTTGAGTCAAGTGACAGTTACGCCAACGGTACAACTGCATAGATGATTTGTCTTTCTAAAATTTCAATAGCAAATTAACAAAAATATAATTCAAATAGTACAATTATAATTAAAAAAAAAAAAGTATTTCACTGTATCTACTAATTTATTACATAAGATTTTGATTTAAGGGTTTTTACCTTTTTTTGGGACATGAACTTCAATAATAAATAAATTATAGCCTGAAACTCTGATTATTTTTTGTGTTTACTATTATTTAATAATTTTATGTTAATTTAAACTTCAGTGTGATACCTATTGTTATTTTAATTGTATGGTTATATTGTTTGCATGAAATCTGAAACCATCTTGGAAAAAGGATTATCATTTATCGTTATTGTCTTCCTATTTTTTTCACGATCTATTTTTTATTAATGAAGAATATTTAGACTTTCAAAGATATTTAGTGGCAAATCAAATAAAATATATCAACTTTTCAGCTTGTGTAAAGGTATTTGATATCGTACGCAAAATTCAATGTCATAAATTTTATAATTCTGAGCCAATTCTTTGACTTACTACTTGTTCATAAACCACTAGTTAAGAGTCCCAGATTAAATATGAAAAAATTAATTAATTTACGTTTCATAAATATATAATGAAATTGGTAAAATTGTTTATTAATTGGACACACATTGCTATACATTATTGAACCACAAAAAATTAATATTTAAGTATTGACTTTTATTTTATTACTTTTTTACTAGTCTAAACTAAATGGCTCATTAAATATTACCAAATTTCTATGCAGTATAAATTTCATTGTTCCTGTGTGTTTTTCTAAAACCTGTTCTCTCCTAATCTAGATTCCTGCCCAACCATATTGGCCTAAGATGTCACAGTAAATTGATGCACAGAACGCAACAGTACACTAATTCCAGAAATTTGAATTTTTAATCGTATTCTGTGGTCCTAATTTGTTAGATATGATTCAAATTGATATATTTTAGTAAACTTATTTATATGCACTATTACAATAGTATTTGTGACTTGAATATACTACACAATACTACTATAACTTATGAGTGGAGAATTAACATTGTTGGTTACAAGAACTTTTAATGATTCTACTGGAATAGCACTGACGTTTGGTAATCATAACCCTTGTGTATAACCATTAAATCATTTGTTACCATATAAAATCAATGGTTTTACATAAACATCGGCTATGGATTAATACTTGATGAAATACAGTACATACCTGTTCGGGTTTCTTTTTGGTCCGTACTAGTTCGTCCCTCTTGGGTATAGTTCCACCGTCGCATCCCATCGCAAACGATTATAATTCTTCTTGGGACAGGAAAATACACTATTACTTGCAGTTGTTAATTAATATTTAAACGTCCGAGTCGGAAACGAAACACAAAAACTATGTTAATATTCCATAATCTATACTATCACTTATCAGTTATCATAAAATAAACATAGTCTAATGTTTTCACGTCCTGCTCCCTGATTGGTCTCAGTAATGATAATGACTTGATATCAAAATAATATAATGATATCGTACAAGAAAATATTTCGAGCATAAATGCATAATATTCGTAAAACTCATAAATGCCAAAGATTCTAGAATCCTTAAACAACTTTTTTTTTGCTTAAATCTTGGTTTTTGTGATTTTAGTAGGTAAATAATTATGTTTACTAAAGACATACTTAATTTGTGAAACAATTTTGGTATTATTGTTTACTTGAATATTTTACAGATTTATAGACTATATTTTATAAATTATATACCTAAATCATTTATGTCCTTATTTTTTTTGTTTGGCTACTAAAATAGTGAAATTAACACAATTTTATAGTAATATATATATATATACTTAACAATTAATTCTTACCAAATTTATAGACACTACATTCTAGATATCCGATAGACTATCATAGTATTTTACTTGAGCTACTTTTAATTGATTAAATTTAAATTAGCTTTTTTTATTATTATGAATATTTCAACCAATCTAGTATATTTACATAATTTATATGTATATATTGATTTAAAATATTTGATTATATCATAAAGTACAAAACATCATTAAATGGAATTATGGAAGTATACAGTTTATACATTATATTTGATTAAAAAATTACAAATAATAGTATTTATAAAAAATATAATAATGTATGTCTGATATAGATAAAAAATAACAAAGTTATTATATATTTAACAATCACATTATTATGTTACGTACTGGGTGCTAATCTATTGTAGAAAGCTTGGTACTCAGGTATTAGACATTTTTTAGGATCTGGTGATGGATCTTTAATAAGAAAATCAGCCAAAAATGGAGCTGGTAATAGTAATATACCCTTGACAGCAATTTCATTTAAAGGAACAGGAATATTCCCAAACCCTTGGTCAACAATACAATGAGTAGACTGCAATAGTTCTCTAAATAAAAATAAAAGTTATCAAACAAAAAATGTAACCATAAGTTAATAGTTAGTAACTAACTTTTTATCCAATATCGTTCCACCACCTGCTTGTATAAGACGCGTTAAAGCTTGATATCTATTTTCAGAAGTCATTAAAACAGCTTTCATACCACTGAATGCTGCGGCTTTACCAGAACGAATTTTAGAACGCCATCGATAACCTGCTCCGTGTAATGGTGTTGATAAAGTTAAGTCAGATAAAGGATTTCCCCATTCATATTTATCTTCCTACAAAAATAAACAAATTAAAATACATATAATTTATTCAGCTATATTTAAAAGATTTAAATTGTACTTACTGACAGAAAACAATTTTCCTTTAAACAATCATCAATATAGCTCGGATGTAATATCCATTTTCCAGAAGCGAGTGAACATAAATATTTTTCACTTCTACTGGGTTGGTGCATAAGAACATGAGTAACATCTTCACAAAAAATTGCACTTCGCAATACTTGAGCACCAAGTTTTTCAATAGCATTTTCATACTTTTGTCGCTCCTATCGAAACAAATTAATATTTTATAACTTTTTTAATTAACTTTAAAATATTGAAAATAAAAAAATAAATATTTGATTACATTACTATTCACGCTGGTTAATATAAACTTTTTATTGCATTCGGACAGTCTTTTTAGCTGAAATGTATGAAATATTTTATAAATATTTGTATGACGTGTATGCATTAATTAATTAACTTACTCTGGCTTTTTCTTGTTGTTCAGTTGGATCTTCCCATCCAACAGAACATTGTTGAGATGATTCTACAACTCTTTCTTTAAATAGAGAATTTCCTGAAAAAATAAACATTTATTAATTATTGAAAAATTAAAAAAAAAAAAAAATTTTATAAAGGGCAAGTAAAATAGGAATACTAAACAATTTCTTGCTTACAGACATTGTAAATTTCAATGTAGGCCTGCATATGATATATTATTAACATTTTAAAGCATTCATATTGTTCTAAGCAAATGTGTTATTTTAGATTAGACATTCTAATAGAAAAACACTCAATTAATGTAATTATAAAGATCATCTCCATAGCAATATAGTTATAGTTTAACACCTTATGGCATAAACTCAAAAATTGCAACTTTTTGCTATTGATTGGCAAATAGTGTACACTAGTTTGGTTAAATTGGGCTCATGTTAAAAAAGTTGATATTTGTCTCAATCAAAGGAAACGTATCTTCATAACAATGATTAAATATACCTCTATCAAATGATTACCATTCTCAGTAACATTGCCTCTTTACAAGTGTTGATATGAAATGCATTACTCAGATAATGGATTAAACATAATAACTCCACATTATTGATTTATGATTACTACAAATTCAGTTGTGACTCACATAAGTATATACCTTGAAAACTGCTGTAGCACTCAATAATGTGCAAGTAGCGGAAAAGAAAAATGGGAATTGTCTAAGCCTAGGACATTTATTTTTTCTTGAGGATCCCATAAGTTTAATTCCTGATCACAATTTCTCTGGAAGGTAAGGTCAACTTTACACTGAATTTATATAGAAATAGAAATATTAAAATTTAATTAATATGGCAAAAATGTGGACATATCATAAATTAATTGGACAATGTTTTTAATCCAAGATGAGGCTGTGCGGTCACTCTATCTAGAATAAAGTATACATTTTACAAGAATACCTCAAGAGAAATTTTAAAGAAAACTTAGAGAAGATTATAACTGGATTTTATTTGAAGCAATCAAATGGTTAAAATCAATTTTTACATTAATTTATAATTTATACAGACATTATTTCATTCATTGTGTAAAATATTTAGTTTATTTTTTTATCACTACTGTTATTATAATTTTTAATTTGCTGTTCACGTGACATATGAATAAATTAAATAAATAGTTAAAATTCAAGATTATTAAAAGTAATCTAGTCTGGTTTACTAAATTAGGTTTTCATAGTTATTTATTTATTTAATAACTGTGATAAGTACTATAAAAGATTATGGAGTACCTACCGATAAAAATTTAAAATTAAGTATCAATTAATTTAAATAAATTCTTGAAATATTATAGAAACTAACACATTTATATGCTATATATATTTTTTTTTATGTTATTTTGATCACTGTATAAAAATTTTAAATTAAGCACTTACTTGCATAATCATCTTGACTTTCAGAATCTGATCGGGAAAGAGGAATTTCTGGTTCTCTTGATGCACATAGATCTTGTTGGAGTTCTTCTATTGTTCTAAAATACGTAAAAAACAATTTAAAAAATAATAAAATGTTATAGTTAAAAATTAATGACAAACCTCCTAAATTCTTGTTTATCTAATGATTGTTGTTTAATATCCTAAAAATTATAAATTATTTAATTAATACTGTTAAAATAAGTAAATTTTATTATTTTCTCACAATATTTGGTGATACAGTATTAGATTTATTATTTTGAACTTTTGATATTTGTGATGTGTTATGCAAGCTCTTTGACATACTTGGAGAATGGTATGACAAACTTAAACTTTTCAATGTATCATTTGAATTAGTGTTTATTGAACTTATGTCATTTGTTTCCTAAACATGAAAACAATTATAAAATTATATTTAAATAAATTACATAAATGGTTTTTGAAATTGTACTGTTTTAGAATTATACTTGGCAATTTTTGCATTTATTATAATATTTTATTAAAAGTAATTAACCTATAAAATTATAAAAATATTAATTATTATATAATTATTAATAAATATTTATATATTTAATTCTATGGGTTTACATTAAAAATTATATCATAAATAATTACTTTTTGTTGACTAGTATTAGCATGTGGATATTGTGGATGTAAAGATTTATTCCATAATTGGCGCTTAAGCTCGGTTAATGGCTAATAAAAAACGTAAAACATTTAAAATAAAAAAAATAAAAAACTTAAAAAAAACTTACTGTGCTATTTCGATTTTTTAACTTGGGTTGTGATAGTTCATCAGAACTATCTGGAAAAGTGTCTACCCATCTGAAAAAAATCAAAATATATAATTATTGTAAATAACTAAAATATATTATTGCATTAATTTTCAACAGAATTTAACTAGTAAAATTAGATAACAAATACTTTATATTTAATCAAAATAAATAGTAGAACTTCATTAATATCATGCCATAAAAAGAGAAATATTATATAAAGTAAAAACATGTTATTTCTATGTCATAAACTATAAATCACAAAATTGATAATTACAAAATATATACAGTGGCTTGGTATGGCGCGTTGATTGTTGCCAGTCGCAGAATGCGACTGAGAGTAAGTAACGGCCACAGCTACTAGTTCTCGGACATAAAGGTATATTATTATGCTGATATATTATAACTATCAAATATTGTTAAGAAAATTACAGGGGGTTGCATATAATTTTTATGAAATTTTCATAGTTTTTACAATAAGTAATTTAGATTAGTCTTTATATTCTTTAAAATATAACCTATTACAAGTGATCACTAAATAAAAGGTAGACATATATTAACATTCAACAGATAGTCTTGTGTTCCGTTTTTTAGTAGCCATCACATTAAATACAAAAATGATATACAATAACAATATTTACTAGAAAACCATTTTGTGTGGAAAAAACCACACAAGTTTAGATAAGACACCCATTTACATACATTATATAAGAAAATACAATTGCATTGTTCTTATAGATGGACATTTGGTTGAATTTATAGTGGGGGAGTTAGAATAATCAAATCATTAATACCAGTAATAATAACATTTAAAATAGATTCAATATTTTTTTTTTTGTGGAGAAGGGGAGGGTTATTGAAATTTTTGGGAAGCTAAACTATATAAATAAAATATAGCTTGTAATCTACAAGTTACAACATAATGAATGCCATCTTATAAATTAGTGGATACATATTTTGTCTTTACTAGGACTATAGAACGGTAACCATGCAGAATGAATTTTACAAACAATTCATGTGGACATCCAGTTAATAATCTAATAATCAATCACCGTCATTATATAATTTAATTTTAAATAGATGTAAATTTATTAATTAAAGTTAGTAGTTTTAGTTAGTATTAATATTAAAATGATTATTTAAAACATATTTTACATAATTAGTTGATAAAGTAACAATCAACTTTATTAGAAAGAGTACTTTTAATAATAGTTAGGTACATACTTTTTCCATTTTTTTTTTGTTTCTGGTGTAACAGGGTCATTATAAAATATTTGTCCATATGGAGTATCTGGAGTTTTTAAATTCTCAATGAAACTATTTGAAGCAACTGGCGTGGAACAACTTGATTTTAAACGAGTTATTGCTGGCTTAAATTTGTTTGAAGGCGAATCTAAAACTTGAGAGGTAGGAATCATAATTTCCATTGAACATTTTTTTTTTAGAGGTGGTTCAATATCATCCTCAGTATCTTTAAGTGGTACAGCTAATTCAGAATCAACATCATTTTCTTGTAATGCAAGTATTGTTAATTTTTGAGTAAATGATGAAGAGCTATCATTATGATTATCATTTTTAACTTTAGAAGATGGAGTAACTGTAGAATCCAGCGATGAAGATTTATTAGCTAATAGAAATTTAATCATTTTAATTAATATTTTTGAAATAATATTAAAATTTAAATAATTAAACTAATACATACCATTGGAAACAATTGGAAATTTATTTTCTGGTAAACGATGTTTGCATGAAACACATTTAAGTAGCCATTCTTTAGATACAACTGGTACGCCCCATTTTACTGAAGCTTCATATTTAGGCCCTTCTGGTGTAGAACAAATAAGATGAGTTGTCATCATAATGTTCTCATCTGGTTTTGATTTTCTTGACAATGCATCTTGAAAACTAAAATATGAGTATGTGTTGAAATTAATTTAAGATTACAAATAATTGAATTATAAATTATAATATTTTTACTTTGCTCCAAGAAGTAGTGAAACTTCTTTTAAAAAATACCGTTCAGATCCTGTATAATTGGTAATGCTAATTACGCAGTTTTTTAGAGGAGTAGACCCACTAAAATTTACTGGTTTATGATAATATTCAACAGGAATTTGTTCAACATTATTATAACAATCTTCCTAATAATAACAACAAGAAAAATAATTAATTATAATAAATTATAATTTTATAAAAGTTTAATATTTATAGATACATTAAATTTTATCTGCACCAGAATACATTTAGGTTCAAGATATAGTGCTCAGACTAAATATTGTCTCATTTTAGTATGATACATAAATATAGTTGATAATAAACTTACTATCCAAAGACAACTAACTATGGTGGCTTTAATACTTAAAGATTTTTCATTGAATACAATAGGAACAACAACATAATTAATTTTTCCTCGATAACTACGTGTATTAACTGCTACACCGCCCATAGATATTATTTTACTTTTTATGGATGGCAATTGATGAGAATCCAAATCATGCAGAAGGATAGTTAATCCTATAAAAAAAAAAAAAATAAATAAGCATATAACATAAACATATAACATAAACATTATTTTATATTGAAGTTAGTAGTTATTAATAGTAATAATAATACAACCTTCTAATACAGATTCAAGTTTACTGTCTTGAGTGGACATAGTATCTTGTGTTGTACAAGAAGATTTTTCGCTTTGAGTATCATTAAAATTAGTGTTTTCTAAAAATTATAATAATATAATAATTATTATATATTTATTTTATTGATAGAATGCATGTAAAATATTTAATAATTGAAAAACATTCAAGTGTTGAAATTTAATTTCTAGTACATTTGATTAAATAATTTTTATTAAAATAAATAAATACAATTAAAATGTTAGCATATAAATTGAAAAATATTAAACCATATGATATACTAACCAACATTTAAATATTGATCAATAAAATTATCCAATGGCGGATTACTGGTTACAGCTGAAGTTAGTAGTTTAGGTTTATCTACAACTTTTGGTTGAGAAAGTGTAGAATTTTTCATCATGTACAATCCCTAAAAAATAATTATGAATTATACATATAATTTGTAACATTATCAAAAAACTAGCCAAAACTAGTATCTATATAATAAGTTACTGAAATATTTTAGATCACTTTAGATACATTTTGAGGTGAGTAATACATTTATATATGATAATTAGGGCCCAGATTTATATGCATTTGAATGTTTTTCCTGGAGAGTCCAAAAAATAGCTAGGTAAGCTACAAGCTTGATTTGTAGTCAATAGATTTTAAATATAAAATTTTATTTTGCATATTTTGTCATTTTTTGACATGTACTGTATATTTCTGTATTTTAGGATTTTTTCATTGGTTTTTAAATGCAAATATGTAATATTTTGCTTATTTAAATTAAAATAATGTATTTATAGTTATATTTATAGTCCATGTAATTTGACAAAATAATTTTCTTATCTTATCTAACACCTATAGGGAAAAGTAGTAATCTGTTATTGAGTAGATTTTAGTGAATCATACATTCATCATGACCCGTGTGTGCATAATTTTCATTCGATTTTATTTATTTATACTTAATGAAAATAAAAGACATTTTTTAATCAATTTTTTCGCATATTTTTGTATATTTAAAGTGCATATTTGAATGATAATCAGTACATAAATGCATGTATATTTAATACATTTTTAGTGCATATAATTCCAGGTCCCAATGATAATTTATTAAAAAGATTTGAATTATAATACAATAAAAAACTAATTTAAAAAAATAATAATAGCAGAATTAACATAATGATTCCACTTCACTTGAAATTATATAAGTATCTTTTTTTTGTGTATAATGAGTATATTAGTTGATTTGTCTGTAAATATTGTAAGTATGAGTTAAAATAATACCTTTTTACTGAGAGGAGATGGAGATTCTGGTGTAAATGAATGAGATGAATCCATAGCTAAGAACTGTTCTTCTGGAGCAGTACATTTTAAATTTATACTTTCAAGTAACCAATTAAAATTCACTACATGAGGCCTTAAAATATAATATAATATGCATTTTAAATTACAATACTAAAATATAAGGTTTTTAAATTTTAATAGTGTTTATTAAGAAGACACCACACTTTTAAAAGTTTAGATATAGGTAATTATAAGAATAAATAGGAAACTTATGATTGATTTCACCCATTTACAATAGCTATTTATTGAATGATTACAAAATTATATTGAAAATCAATTTCATTAAGGAAAGAACCAAGAAGACTTTTTTATTGAATTTTTAATACTAAAATGATAAACAAACATGGATTACAATGTTGATTTTGTTTTTTTTTAATACTCCTTTAACTTAAATAATTATTTAAGTTAATAAATTATAAACACAATTCATTTTAAAACTATAATAATTTTTTATATATAAATGATATCAAGAAATAAAATATAAAAACAATTTGGTAGACCTAGTTTTTTTTCTGTTTTGATGAAAATATAGTTTTTTATAACAAGAGTTATAGCCACACTAGTTTTTTTCCTACAGATAATTTTAAATAATTATTTAGTGGGTATGCAGTGTTTTCTTAATTATAAGTAATTATTGCATTAAGCACAAAAGGTATATTTACTTTTCTTGAATAGAGTGTAATAATTTTGCAAGTGATGCAGAAAAATCACCAACTAAAATATGGGTTATAGATGCATTTAGCTCTGTATATCTAATTCCGCCAGTAGAAATTACAATACGTTTTAATTTTTCTTCTTCGCTTAAACTAAATCCACTAAAATAAATCTAATACATAAAAAAATTAATTTTTAACTAAGTATAAATTATCTAAAGAGCATTTTTATAAACTTACTTTACAACCATCCAAAATTGTGCCTGCTTTTTTAACTTCTGCCAAACTTAAATCATTTAAAATATCTTTATAATTTATTTGTTTTGAGTGATCTATAATATGATTTATGCATAGTTTTGAATTTTAGAAAAACAACAATTTGATGTACTGATTACTCATTAAAAATAATAAAATAAAATAATATACTTACATTGCCCATTATTTTTTTTTGGAGTAGTACAATTCTCTTGTGATCCATGATTATTAATTTTTTGGCGCTTTAGCAATTCACTGTTATTTATTGTTTCTTCAACTGTAGATTTTGGTTCAGCAACAATTTCACTTATGTCATTTTGAGAAAAGTTAGCTAAAAAAACATATAAATGTAAGAATTATAAATGATATCACAACAGTTTAACTTATTTTAGGTCATACGTTTAACATTTGATGAGGCAGGAGTTGAACTTAGCATTGTATTTTTGACAATATAGTCTTGAGTATCAGCTATGTAACCCTTTACAACACTGTCATAAATCCAAGATGGCTTTAAACAAAATAAACCCCATTGTTGTGCATAAGTATACTTTTGGCCTGTTGGTTTCATTATGATCAATATGTTAGTTTCATCTTTCTTCATTTGAGGGGTATATTTGCCACCTAAATGTAAAAAAAATCTATGAACATGGGATAACTCAAATGTGTATTAAACAAATTGTTGATAGCTTAAAGGAATTTCTTGATAATTTAAATAATGTTATTATTATTACCATTTGCATTAATTAGAGAAATAATTTTTTCTCTATCTTTTCCTTCTAATCCAGAAGTAGTTATTTCAAGTTTATAAAATGGAGGACATTTGTATTTATCAAACTTAGTTTCTGTGGCTACTACGTTACATATTAAACTTTCTTCCCAAACAGCATCAACCCATTCTTCAGTCATAATATTTATTCCATTTTCAATAGCTTTCTAGACAAAATCATACCATATTAAATGAATACAAATATGTCATATTATTATTGTTTACTTACAATATGTTTTTGAGATCCTGCTTTTCCAACCATTAAATGAGTAGTACTGTCTCGTAAATTATGAGAGAAAATTCCACCCATATATTCAACTTTTTCCTTTACTCTTTCCTAAACATTGTAATAATTATTAATTTAAATAAAGGAAAGCACAATAATGATTGTTTACTTTTTCTTTAGGACTTAGATTTGAAATACTAAGTACAACGTCTCGCATTGCCATCGTATATATTGGTGAATTATTTTCTGGTATGGAAATTGCTTCAATAAAACATGTTCTTAAGCATATTGGACTAACAATTCTGGAAAAAAAATAATAGTAATAAAATTAAAACATAAAGATAATGGAAGTTTTTCTTATGCTTAAAATGTAATATTTTACAAGTTATAATAAATTATTATATTCTAAAATACATTAAATTATTAAATTATTAAGGAACACATTAAAAGAATTATAAACAAAAATATTAATGTTAAAATTATTTTTAAATAACACAAATTCAATCAAAGAATAATTTTTATTACACAACATAGTATACTGGAATAAAAAGAAATACACATAAAAAGTATAAGTTTGTTGTATAATCTGAGACTAAATATGTTAACTTAAATAATAGATCAGAAAACTAATTAAGTTATACTTGTTCATAAATATTATGTTTTTTTTTTTTCAGAGAAAGCTGTACAAAGTCTTAATAAAATCTCAGTGTTTAACATTTAAGTATGGTTAGGCTAACGAGTATAAACAAATTATTTATTCATAATAGGATTAATATTATAAATAATTATGAGTTAATTTACAATATAAAAAAATTAATCAAAATGTTGTACTAACACAGCTTTATTTTGTTTAGCAGCTATTAAAATATGTCGAAAAGCAGGTCCTTCAAATTTATCATAAACAAAAACTTGACTTTTTTTCAATGATTTCATATTACAAACATCTGACTCAGTGATCACATTAGTAGTAAGTTCATGGTTAATGCAATCCTATAATATAAATAAGATCTAAATATTTTATATTCTTGATTTGTAAACCCCAAAAATATAAACGTCACCACTCACTTGCAATGCCAGCTGCATAGTTTCAGACATATTTTCAATATCTGTCCTATCTTCAGTAAGGACAAAAAACACTTGAATGGTATTTTTTTTTAATGACCACATTGTTATATGAATTTAAATAATACAGTTACATTAAATACTATTTAAAGAGACACATTGTTAGGCAATACTTGTCTCAAAACTACAATATTTAAAAATATCGGATTTTTTAAATGAACAATAAATAATATTTAGCGGGAGTGAGATTAAGTTCTTTTATCATAATACTGTATTGTGTGATAACGTTTCTGATTATTTCGAAAAATAAAATCTCCTCACCATGGTTACCATACTACTACCGCTGTACAGTAAAAAAAATGCGGTTGAAGTTTTTTTTTTAAATATCTTAGAATACGTTTTATTTTATTATTATAAAATAAAAATGTTATGTAACGCTAATAAAATTGTTAACGTTATGTGCTCATGTTAATTTCTGTTAAAAATTTAACTTCAATCATAGTTTACGACCACCTTCAAGGTTGTTACTGTATTGGTTGTACTATTACTACTGGTACTATTTCTGATATCTGTTGATGAAGTTTAATTTTCACCAAATACTATAGTATTTGACATCACCTGCGATGTGAGTTAATCGTTTTCTAATTTTTTCTCTATCAACATATTTCATTCAAAACACAATGTAAAGAATTATCAACTATGATTAGCGTTCTGCAGTTCGTACAGTTGTGTGATTTTATAATTAGGTACTTCATGAAAATACAAATTGTCTGTGTTAATAAGTAAGTATACTTACTTCCTAATAACAACTTTTAATAGTTATACTTAAAATTTTACATAATTGTGTTAAATAAAAAAATAACACATACGGTTAAACTTTAATACATTATTTATATAAAAACATCGAATTTACATTGTAGTACCTATAATGTTTTACCATATCATGGAGATTTTTTGAATGTCCATTATTTTTGTAAATAATATACCTAATAGTCCTGTAAAATAAGATACCATCGTAGTATTTAATACATCAATTAAATTTAAACTTAACAAGATGGATGCTTTATGAATACCTTAAAAACTTATCGGGGATAGGTACAGTAGTAAGCGGAGACTATATAGTCCCTGATAGCAGTTCAGTCTTATTCTATTTCTTTCTCTGTATATTGGACATTGATAAGGGATTATTAGCGCAGCATCAATTTAATTCAACCAATAGGTAACTGTTTATGACTGGTAATAGACAATAGTAGTGTAAAATGCACCTATATATAAGTATACATTATTTAGACTATACGCCTCACTACACCCTGCTATAGATTCTCAAATGCCAACACTCAATATTGTAAGAAAGATATATAGGTAATATCTGTGCATATGATATGAGACCTAAAGTGTACTTTAATAGTATATAGTTTACCTAGCTTGGTATTGTGATTTTTCCTACCCCGGCACCTTGCCACACGGGTAAGATTAAAAATATTATATTATATTTAATAATTAATGCTAATACACAAACTATACATGCAAGTCATATACTTAAAATAGTTTTCGGTGAATATTATGTTATGTAAGATTTACTGTATATTACGTATTGTTTTACAATGTTTAATAATCTGTCAGTGTCATTTCCTTATACATATATGTTTAGTAAAACAAATGGATAATTTAAAAAATGATATGATTAAACTTACATCTGGACGCTGTTTACGCAACTGACTATAAAATGAGATGAAATGAGTCTATTGAAATACTTTCAATAATACCTATTCTAATAAACTGATAATCAAATAGTACTTAATTTGAGATACATGATCGGCATACGGGATATCTTTTCCTGTTTATTTTATAGTGCATAATAAAAATATTTTTATTTTTTTTTAACTAATACGATAAAACATAACGAGTTTAATTTCAACTTAGATTTTAAAACGAGTATAAAAACAATAACAACCAGAAAACCACTCCATGCAGATTTAATATTAAATTGGTAGATATCTACCTATAACGTTACGACATATATGAAATAATATATATTTGAGCATGTAATATAAAACTGGTTTAAAATTTTATACATGTGTGATATCTATATTTCATACACATTTTAATATTTATAGGTACGTGTCTAATAAATTGTCATTGTTATGAAATTATACTGAAGCGTGAAATATGTTTTTAATCTCATTATTCATTAAACATAAGTAATAATATCATTTAATCATACAATATTTTTACTACCTTTAGGTAATAGGTTGTACTATAGATGTATAGTATGTGTGTTTTAAAATAACGGAAATTAAATCGTCTTGACAAATGCATAAAATATCGTAATGCAAAAATCGAAAGTTGTTAAGTTTGGGATTATTTTTAGTCACAGTTCGCAGTAATACAATATATTTTTAACTGTTTTACATTCAAACTCAAGGTAGTTTAATATGGATTATAATAAAGTAATTATAAATTTTATATGCTTTTATTCTTATTATACGTGGGAAAAGTGCATATTAATGTAGGTATTATTAAGTACACAGTATATTATGATTTAGAACGCTTTAGATACCTACAAGTGAACTTTAATTATCTCATCGTGAACTGAAAAACAGCATTTATTAAAAAGAGTTCAGACTTATTATACTTATATATTATTATAAATGTAGATCGGTATAAGTGTACGGCTATATAGTTGCAGCGGAAATTAATTTGCAGAGTAGTTGCTCTTAATTTTTTTCTTCTTATCGTAAACGAAGTAAATATAGAACATTTTTTGTTAACTTTAATCGTTGAAAAACTAATTCAGACAGATACAAATGTAGAAACAGTATCGATCAGTTTAAGTGTGCTTATGTATATGTGAATCATCATAATGGCTGTAGTGGTGGCGCTAATTAGCAATTAATGTCAATTTTTTTTATTGTTTTCAAGGTATCCTAAACACGTTTATTTTACAATCGCCAGCGCGCGCGCGTATATTCATAATCATAATGCATGTGTATATAATATATACACATACATAATGATGATGGCCAGTAGGGGGCAAAAAGGGCAACTGCAGGTATTATGTATACTTATACTGTCAGTTGCGAATGAAAACAAGTGGCGAGCGCTTCTAAAAAAAAAAAAAAAAAATAATAATAATAAATTATTCAAAACAATATGTGAGAATAATCTAATATACTGTACGGTTCGCGTAAAATCATGTTCGGACTTTGGATCAAATATTTTTGATTCTTTGCACAATTTCAGTTCACGTGTCATATGAATTATATTATTAATAAACCCTATATTATTATCTATACCTACATAAATTGTGATCGGGTTACGTATGTGTTGTTAAAAAATAAAAAAATAAAACTATTACAAATTCGATAATCTTGTATTTATAACTACAGTCTATACTTGTCACTATGCACGCTACTATGTATGTATATCTAGGTTGATATTATTTATCTTCGAAATTGTCGGTTATCTCGAGTGTCGCCGCCGCCATCACCGCCGTTTGCGATTTTACGTCCTACCTTTTATATCATATTATTATACCGATCTACTTCTTTATAGGTACTTATAAGTTATAATACACCGTCAACCCATCGGCTTAACAATCGCGAAACGTAAATAAAATAATTACTATAATCCTAAGAACGACCATCGTCACCGCCTCTGCCGTCATGTTAATCACGGCCGCAATCGAATTCACCATGGTGTCCGTATGCATGTTCGCGTCCAGCGCCGGTGTGGCGATTGCCGTCGTCGCCGTCATCGCGTATACGGTATATGGCAGGATCAACAGGTGAGTGCTTTTTTGAATCACATATTACACTATATAAAATGCATGATGTATCTCAAGTTAAACTTGCAGTATATGTGTGACGGTTTCCTGAAGGAAAATTTTTAAATATCTACTTTTTGTAAAATTTGAACAAATTTATAATATCATATAACTAAACTCCTATTGTGAAAACGTACGTTTTCACAAAAATAGGGATTCATGTGTTTACTGTATATATTATAATATATTATTGGATAGTGGGAACTCAATTTTTATTTAAAATTTACATCACCTATAAAAATGTATCTAGTATAGAAGACTAGAATAACTTAATAAATCTGACCAAGAGTAGATTTTTAGGAATTATTTTATAAAATCAACTCCCTAGCCCTTTCAAAAAAAAAAAATAAAAATAATAAGAAAATAATTGAAATTTGATTATCAGCTAATATTTAAATTTACAGTTTATTAGATCTCATAAACATAAAAACATGTCTATTATTAGCTGTAATAGCAATACATTAATTATTATTAATGATTAATATAAATATATATAAATGACTATAAGTGAACACAGTGGTTGATCTAAATATTACACATAATTATTATTATTGTTGTTACTTGTTGCGCATTGGACTTTAACCAATAACTTCCGAGTCTTGTATATGTACAATGTGTACATATTGTCCAAATAATAACAATAATATTGTACGCACGTATATATAGTAGATACGTGTAAATCTGCACAATTATATTTATTCAGTTATGTTCGTCTAGCACCCATCTTAATGAAATAAAATAAAATAAAATAAAAAAATTTTAATATTTAAAAAAATATATTTACATGATGTGTTAAATAACGGAAAATTAAGAATACAAAAAAAAGATTAAAGGGACTTTTTATCTTACAGAGTATATTTTTTAAAACATGGTTAATTTATGATCTGGTATAAAGCTTATATTATAAACTGTATACTTATACCGTTTTACTCAATACCGACAATATATCTATTCAAGTTCATATAAGAGGATAAACTTTTGAAAGCTGATAAGTGACTAAGAAACTGAGCGTTTTCAGGTTTTTATAAATTTTGCCGGAAATTTTGTTTATGTTGGTTCCGATGACTATTAATCCCATGTATATAAAATGGCAGAAAAAACAATAAAATATTAAATAATTATAACTACGAATAATAACTTAAATACTGATAGAGGTTATTATTTAATTATAATTTATTTTAATAAAGTGATTTAATGTCAGTCTTATAAAAAATAACCTGTCAATTTTTTTTTATAATCATTAAAAATTATTAAATACCTACATTTTTTATTTTATAATTTTTGTTTTTGCTGATTTTATGGATGATAAATCTTCTTATTTTTATATTTAAGTTAATTTATATTTTTAAATTCAATAGACGTGATAACAAAAATATATTAAAATGGGCTTTAGTAAATTGTGAGTAAAGTTTTGAATGGAACAATTTACTACTAGCTGTCGATATTTGTTTGATGATATTGAAGACGATGTTAATATTTTTGGATTAAATTTAGATATATCATCAATTTAATAATCACGTAAATAATCATACATTTTTTTCCTATCTCATTATCAATTTCTAGTGAGAGTGTATAATAATAAACGAGCTAGTGGAATCAACATATAAAAAGTTTCAGCGAGTCGATAGTCATTAACCGGTGCAATCGATAAGTTTCTTACATGTTAAAATTTAATTTTGGTAGGATAGATACCTATAATATGCCACTTTTCTATTGTTCTTACATAATATTATGTTATACCTTTATATAGATGACATTTTTCGATTGTAAACTTTAGTATTCTCTTGCACTATTGCATGTTTGTATAGTTGTCGATTTCAACGTAATTCATTGGCTTTTTTATGTCCGCGTGTCACGTATACGTACACTATCCATGCATGTTTTTTATAATATTATAATAGTATATTAATTATATGTGTAAAATTTAAAAACCTTAGAATTCGGTTTGTGTATGCATATAATATATTTTACTATACCTTCATAGTTTTTAAAAAGTACAGTTAGATTTAATGTTAATCATTTTTCCCATGTCTGTTATAAACACGATTTGATGCGACTTCAGTGGAGTACTGCAATGGCATTTTACTATTTGACGTCTCTAAACAGTCTAAACTTACTAAAATCTATAAAATATATTCAATGTATTATAATTTATTATTTTTAAGTACATCTAAATCTAAGTACCTTGCTTAAAGTACTCTTTATATTTATTAGGTATCATTAAGTATCATGAATTATAAGTACTATTTGATTTCTCAAAATTAAAATAATGATGCATATTTATAAACCTACGATTAATATAAGACAAATCAATAATTAAGTCTCAAATATTTATCATTTGTGTGCAACGAATACAAATTAATTCCATAATTTTTTACCACATCTTATAATATATACTTATTTTAACTTTTAAGTTAACATTTTTTTAGAATACCTACTTATAACAAATATAGTAAAATTAATTGATGACAAATACAGTTTTTATGTCTTTTATTTCGATATTACTTGATTGGATTTTTTTATTAACTATAAGTGGTGAATAAATATTTTGAATAGCTTAATTTTCTTTTATTCTAAGGATTATTGTTAATTCTGTGAAAAATATCTTTTTTTTCCATAAAAGTCTTACTCAATTATTGTTAATTATTTTATGTATATTATAGTAATAGCTAGATTGTAAAAATAAAATACTTTGAATGAAGAGAAGAATGTATTTTGAATTTAAATATATATTTACTACTTATAATTATGAAACTATTTAACATTTTTATTTCAATAGACTATAATTTATAACAAAATAAAACATTCAGAATTTTCAAAAATGTATATAATATTTAAATATAGAATATATAGGTATATAGCTAACTAAATATTTGATATATATGAATATTAATAGTGGTTACAACACAAAGTACAAAATATGATATTATTATTAATATTTTATTTTAATGTAATATGATTAATAGAAAAAATTGCATTTTTTTGATAACTTTATTTTGTTCAAATATATATTCGTTGTTTATATTATTTTAACTAAAATATAATCTATAATCCAATTATCTAAGTACCTACATTGAATGATGATACAAGATAAGATTAATATAATTGGGGCCATTGAGGGGACAACTTAAAATTATATAAAACTTTTTTGTATTTTATAATAATATATCTATAAAATATATGACTAGTTCTAAATAATTGTTCTTGTAAGTAACACGTCATATATTAAGCTCACGCCCGCATGTGTTGTCTCCATCAGAAATGTACAACATAGAAAATTTACGTTAAGTAGAACAAATATTATGTTGTTAGTGTTAATACTAGAGTTTACCTATTATCAAACTTAAACGTTAGAAGTTAGAACATTATCTTAGTTTGTTAATAGGTTTTATACAATATTTCAATTTCTAAGTTAATTATGAGAACCTATGTAAAATATTGTAATTTAAAATGTTCATAACTCTCCTAAAACTTCAAATACCATAAAAAACGGTGTTTTAACACATTCTAGTATTTTGTGATTTTGAAGTTTGGTAACAGATAATATTATTAAATCTAACAATATATTATAATGTGTTCAACTGAACGGATATTTGTTATGTTGTACGATTTTAAGATGGAAACTGCACATACGGCTATTGCTTTCTTTTCAGTCTGCTTGGTTTTATAATTACACGATATTATCTATTTCATATTTTTATCGATAAATATTTAAATTTTAAATAAGCAGTCATGTATTACGATGGTATTTTAGTAAATTTAAAAAAATCAATTTATAGGTGTACCTATCTAAATTACATAGTTATAGATATTAGGTGAGTTGCGTGTTCAATGTAATTTTGACGTTTTCGAGTGTAATAAGATAATACGATATGATATGTTTATTTTACGTGAAAATAAAAGATAAGTTTTGATGATATTATTCCTACTATACAAGGCTGCAGTATTGCGTTATTAATGTTACCTAACTTGTTAACGATAAGCCAAATAGGTAAAAATACAAATTAAGATCGTTTTATTTTTATATTTAGTTACTAAAACGTTTTTTGAAAATTGCATGATTCAGCAAAATTATTTTAACTTTATAAATTATGACTTATAATTATTAGTTAAAGTTTTGTTCTTGATGAGTAATTCTTTAGTTCATAGCAGGTATAATTTCAAAATTATGTGCGCTGTCGATATTGTGTCTTCAAAATGATAGGTTTGAAATCATTACCAATTAGTTTAGGTTGCAGTTTTCCAATACTCGCATAGAATTTTTAAATTGTCAAATATAAGTGTCGAAATAATTTATTTATATGTATATACTATATGTATTAATGTTATATATGTATTAATTTATACATTAAATATCTTTAATATATATCATTTTTATCATTATTTTTATTTAGAATTTTCTTTAAGAAAATAAGAATTTTTAATATAAATTATAAATACTCAATTTTGGATTTTTTACGCTTTTTAACCTTAAAATAAGAAATAGTTTTATTTTAAAATATTATTATTTTTTGTATCATTGTAATCGTAAATATATACATCACAAAAAAATAAATATATATAGGTATTACATAATATAGTTTCTAGAATGTATTTAATTTATTACTTGTAATGATAACTGATAACTATAATAATATATAAATAAATTGGTTATATAATTAAAAAATATATAGATAATATATAATAATAATAAAAATGGCCTAAACTTTAAATATTATAATGAAGATAATTTGGGAATATCAAAAACAATAATCTATTTTATAAATATTGCATGATTTGTCTTCGTATTATTTTATGCTTATTTCTTATTGTTTACGGTATTATATATTTGGTGTTTTTATAAGACATGACGTGTCTCTCATATAGTCAATATATAATTATTTATTTTAGAATATAAATATATTAAAAGTATAGTGTATATGTTTTATAAACTTATAAATGTGCTAGCATTTACTTATGTC